TAATTAAATCCAGAATAAAAATGCACAATAATAAAGATAATATTATACATATAATGCAAACGTGCATAAATGGGTAGTGCGTGCGTGCATGTGAGTTACTTACTGGGATTCTTATGACTTCTGTGTCGCGAAAGGTTGGCTTCATGAATTAATGAGTTAATAGCTGCTACATTCGTAGCTCCTTGATCACATACTGTTGCTACTGGTTTCAACCCACACTTTATAAGAATCGTCAACCACTGTTTGATGCACCTTACAAGTTGTGGTGTATTTGTTGTACTGTTGCAAAATCCGTATCCAATGGGCATGTGATTACCCGAAGAAAGACATCTTATATAAAACACTATTGCGTGATCAGCAAATTTTCGGGTTCGTTTCATGCCCCAATCTTCAAAGCCAATAACTTTATCGTTTTTCGAATTATAATACACAGCAGATTGGATGGACATTTCATCCCAAATCAATATACAATATAAATCTTTTTCTTCAATTTCTTGTACAACTAACTTCAGATATTTCTGAATAATATTGTTGCATCCAGAATTTAAGGGAATATGTTCCAGTGCCGTGTCTAAAGTTGTAATAGAAGGACATGAGAGATATTTGGATAGGTATTTATATGAAGCACGGGATCTACGGTAAATTCCAATGCAAAACATTTTTTCTTCCAAAGTATAACGTCTAGCCTGTTATAAAACAAAATGAAAAAGATATGTACAAATAATATTTACAATAATTTGTATGAATAATATTGATAACTTTAATTATTATTATATAAAATAGATGTAATCTATTTTAATGATAATAATTATTATAATTTATAAAAATAATATTGATAAGTTTAAAAAATATAATTAATATTATGAATTTGAATGATAGTATTTCAATGATAGTAAATAACAATAGCACATAATATAAAGTAAGAATTATTTTTATTTTATTATTACACTACGAAGATCCAGCTAGAGCCGAAAATGGTCATTTCTTTATTTAAGGAATCTTTTCGATTTCACGGCTAAATATTACTATTACTTTGGAATTTTTTGAAAATTTAATATTTTGTATTTTAGAAATATACACACATAAACACGCGCGCGCGCGTGCGTGTGTGTGTGTTTCTACCAGTTTCTACAATACAAAATTTCAAGTTATACACACACACACACACACACACATACACACACACGCACACGCACGAACACATATACATATATTGTATATATATATGTTAATTTTTAATGAAAATGAGAAAATATAGATATGATGAAAGAATTGGATCAAAAATGAATTGTTAGATTTTAAAATCATACCTGTGGTGCAACATTACTATTCCTCACAATCATATTAACAAATTGCTCTCGTACACTTGCAGTGTTAGCAACTATTCTTTTACTTGTTTTTCTGTTTATTGTCAACTTGGAAGCAATTTGTTTCATTAGACGTCTCTTTAGACGTCTGTTCTTTGTTTTCAGTTGTACAGTGCGTTGATAAAATTTCTTGGCTTTTGGGGTCAACAAATTTTGTCTGCTTATTTCTTCAAGATCAGGTCTACAAGATTTTGGACTATGTTGAAGATGCTTTGTAATTGTCTCCTCTAACTGATCAAGTTTTTGTTGTTGTTGCACTAATAATTGTTGTTGTTGTTGCATCTGTTCTTCATGCTGTTGCAATATTAAATCTTGTTGCTGTTCCTTCAATTGTTGCTGTTCAACAAATATGTTGTGATCATTTTGACCTTGAAAAATAAGCTGTCTTTGTTCTTGTAACTCCAATTCCACTGTGTGTTCTTGACAAACATCTCCTATTTCCTCATTATTCTGATATATATGTTGTGGAATATTTGAATCTGCTTGTATATTTTCATCCAACATAATTGATGGAATCGCATCACTTTTTAAAATTCGTCTCGTTGCTGAACAACTATAATTGTTTTCTCGAAAATGTTTATGGCACACTCGTAGTTTTTCTACTTCTAGGTCCAATGATTTTATATGCAAAGCGTCTAGCCATAACTTGCGACGGTTAGTACTTTTAGGGAAAACATGTGATGGAACGTTCTTCTTAGAATGGCAAGTAGGAACACAACACGCTCTTACCATTTCTACTTTTAATTTAATTAAAAGGCCACTGGGCCCCGCGCGGGACGATGCAATCGGATGATACACACTGGGATGAACAGGAATCCAACGTGTCGCGAAGCGCGTGGCAAACGTGTCTCGACGGGCAGAGCAATGGGGACAATCTTTCGCCGAGGAG